GAATAATAAATACAATAGGCCAGCAATAGTCTGCAAAATAAAAATACAAACTACAAAATGAAAACACAGTTATTTTAATTTTCATATATTTTCTTTATTTAACGTCTTTTGGTTCTTGAGCGATTTTGTACACTTCCATAGAGACTAGTTGGCATCAACTGTATAATCTATAGAAGCGAGTTTCTGTTCGAAGAAATCACTTCTAATTTCCCTTAGGAGGTTATGTAGCTCTCTTGCAGCTCGATTCCACACAAGTCGGTCCCAAGGATCTTGAGATCGAATCGCTTTTCTTCGTAGGCACCTCTTTCTTCTAATTAATTCTCTAGCCTCTCTTGTGCAAATGCGTGCATTGCTTTTTCTCTCTCTTTCCCTCTCTCTCTCTCTCTCTCTCTCTCTCTCTCTCTCTCTCTCTCGCTCTCTTTCTGCTCTTCTGCTTATGCTGCCTTTTGCCTCCCATTGACTTTTGTGCTCAGCCTGCTGTTGCACATTTCTTTTTTTATTGCCACCGCATTTGCTGAGCTAATTTAAGCATTTCGCTCGCTCGCTCGATAAATGCTGCAGTTGGATTTTCATATGCATCATATAGATTTCCATTTGAGCTGCCTCCATTGAGCGAAAGCTACGCTTAGGAAATTATTGTCGTAGTCAAAGGGAAAACAGCGCTATGCCTGATGCTCATTAGCAAAAATTATAATGAATTATTTTATGCTTTATATATTTGCAACAATGTAAAATATATTAGACTGTTTTAAATTTAATGGAATTTATTACATTTTATTTCATTACTAAATTAGTGTAATTTAAAATAAATCCAATTGATATTAAATTTATTTAAATTAAATCAAATTTATTTCTACTTTCTCTTACAGCCCATATTTACAACTAAAATATGTCATATTATATTATTAAAGTTTGAGGGCAGCTGATGCTCTAAGAGTCTGCTACTTCCCATAAAAATGTTATTGCATACTTTTGTGCTGCGCAATTAAAACCACTGCAGCTGCCTTTTAACATAAGCAGCAGCTGCAGCTTAACAGACAGCTTTTACAGTCAGGAGGATGATTTTTAACAGCTTAGCTGCGCCTAGTAGATATGCAATGAAAATGTTAATGATCAGGACATTTCTCCTTTACATTATTTAAGTCTGCCATTATCACTATTATTTTATTGTCTAATCTTTTATATAAATGATTTAAAAATGTATGAATTGCCATATTGATTGCAGAACATTTAAATAATTATAAATTTCAAATTATATATAAATAAAATTTAATATATATTCAGAACAACTGTATAACTGACTATAAAATTTATAAAAAAAACCTAATAAATAAACTTAAACTATATTTTTTTAAATTCTTCAAATGGTTTACCCAATCACAAATCGCGCATGCTCTGCGTATTTTAGTGTATTCAATCCAAAAACCAACAATGTCAGCCGGTTACACTTTTATAATATTTGTATAGATAGATTTAATCGTAGTATTGTACCATTGTATAGTTTATTTACTTAAGTTGATAAGCGGCGAGAAATCTAATCAGTGCCATAACACTCAATTGCCACGATGCTGAGTGTCAGTGCGAAAAATGCTTCGCTTGGGACGTGTTTTGCGGACGGCTGCAGTGCAGCAGCAATTTCGATTATTGAGCGGAACGCAGACGCCTCTTGGTGGCGGAGATGCGTTGCCCAAACATTGCGATATTCTGATCATTGGAGGCGGCGGCATGGGCGCCTCCTCAGCCTATTGGCTGAAGAAGAGAGCCGAACAGAAGAAGCTCAGTGTGCTGGTTGTGGAGCGAGACGCGGGCGTGAGTTGAGCTACCGAATTACTAATATTATACTGAAGCGTTATCTCCCTTCCACAGTATACGACTGCATCAACTGTGCTCTCGGTGGGCGGTGTACGGCAACAGTTCTCGCTGGCAGAGAACATAAATATGTCGCTTTTTGGCTACGATTTCATATCCGACTGCCGCAGCCATTTGGGTGACGTGGAACTGAACTTTCAGCCACACGGCTATCTAATCTTGGCCAGCGCGAATGGCGCAGAGATCCTCAGTCGCAACTCCAAGCTGCAGAATGAGCTGGGCGCCTGCAATGAGCTGCTTGGTCCGGCGGCGTTGAGCAGTCGCTTTCCCTGGCTCAGCACGCACGGCATCGAGCTGGGCTGCTATGGCCTCAATAAGGAGGGCTGGTTCGATCCGTGGGCCCTGCTGATGGGCTTTAAGAAGCAGGCACGCGCCTATGGGGCACAGTTCGCCAATGGTGAGGTGACGGGCTTTGAGTACGATGCAGCTGGTCAGCTCTCTGCAGCTGTGGTAAGCTCAGCGGATGGCAGCAAACACACCGTGAAGTTCGACAATTGTGTGCTGGCTGCGGGTGCACACTCTGGTCAGGTGGCGCGGCTGGCCAACATTGGTACTGGCAAGGAGCTGCTGAGCGTGCCACTGCCCGTGGAGCCGCGCAAACGTTATGTCTACGTCTTCAATACGCAGGGTCGCAATTGCCCGGGCTTGGCCACGCCTCTAACTGTGGATCCCGATGGCACCTACTTCCGGCGCGATGGCCTCGGCGGCAATTTTCTGGGCGGCCGTAGTCCGGCGGATCACGAGGAGCCCAGCTGTGATACCCTCGATGTGGACCATGGCTACTTTGAGTCCGATGTCTGGCCCACTCTGGCCAGCCGTGTGCCCGCCTTCGAGTCGGTCAAGGTGCAGAGCAGCTGGGCCGGCTACTACGATCACAATTGCTTCGATGCCAATGGCATCATTGGACGGCATCCGCACTACAGGAATCTGTTCATTGCCGCCGGTTTCAGTGGCCATGGCATACAGCAGACGCCAGCGGTGGGTCGAGCCATTGCCGAACTAATACTGGATGGAAAATATACCACACTTGATCTCAGTCGATTGGGCTTTGAGCGTCTGGTGGCACAGGAGCGCATGCTGGAGGTGAACATTGTCTAGAAACTGAAGAAGCTCCTAAAATATGTAAATAAATTATTAGTTTGTTGTTTCGATTTATTGCAATTGTTCATTCAGTTTTTCTTTTCTTTTCTTTTAATGTTTTTCTGCATATAGTTTATGATAGTAAACTTCACTTTCGTTACAACTTATTTTCCATTTCATTGGAAGGGTTTCTGGGGTGAAAAGAAAAACGAAAAATCTGTCATGTTTAATGGATGTGAGTGTGTCTACATATAATTTATTTAAAATAAGAATTTAATTATATATATATAATCATGTAACGATTACGGAATCAAGTGACGCATCGTTTGTTTTACAGTTGCCTTGTTTTTGTTTTCCAACTATTCTGCGTTTGTTAATAATTATATAGATTTTTATATATTTGTCGTTCGAACTACATATACAAGAATTTGCAAAATACATTCTGTTCAGTTGTTTTCTTTTTGTTTTTGTTTTTAAATATTCCGCTCAATTCAAATTTCCATTTGTTGTTCACTATTTCTGGTCATTCGTGTTGTGAGAACCAAAAAATATAATGCGTTTTCTCGAATCTAATGCAAGCTATTAGTAAATATATGTATATATTATAAATATGTTTAAGTGAGTTGTGAGTTGTGTGTATGTATGAATGATTGCAACAATTTCTTTTTGTTTGTCAATCATTTGTTTAATGCTTAATGCTTTTTTGTTTGTTTGTTTTTGTTATTCTGTTCGTGGTGTTCCTATTATTATTGTGTTTGTTGTTATTGTTGTTGCTGCTACTGCTGCTGCTGCTGCTGCTGTTGCTTCTTTATGCTTCGCTTTCGCCGGGTGCCGCATTCTCCTCCTCGTTAATGGGCACAATTAAATTCTCCTTGGACATGAGATTATATTTTGTGACAAAGTGTGTAAATCGGTGGCATAAATACGTCTCAGCCTCAAATTCGTCAAAGATGCGACGATGATGGAAATACGCATGCGAGAAAATGCGATAGACGCGCCGACATACCGATCCCAGCTTCGTCACCGACGACTCCTTGATCGAAACTCTGTGATTAAGCGTAACACTTCACTCATTATGTGGCTTAGTTGCTTTATATGAATCAACAAACATACCTGCTTGGAAAATATTTATTGCTATTGAGCAGACAAGCGGCACCGTCCAGCGTGTGGCGTGTATAATCGATCGCGGGGCACTCTTTGGGCGTTTTGTGTGCCGCACACAGGAATATCCATTGATCGGTGGCCGTCATCTGTGTGCATGTCGAGGGTGAGCATTGTTTCTGCAGTCGCACTGCCAGCCCATTCAATTCCATGCAAAACTGTCGCAAATGCTCATATTTCCAGACGCCCTCGTCCTGTGCCTCTGGCATGGTCAATATTAGCTCCACATTCGAGGGATCTCGCTTGATCATCTGCTGTATATATTGCTGCACAGCCAGTGTGCTGTCCATTTCCTCGAGGGGCTCATCGGGCCAGCGACAGAAATCCTGTTTAACAGGGGAAAGTTATACTTAACGAGGCTTACCATTTAATTTATTTTATTTATGACTTACCTTGGATTTTGTGCCTGGTCGGTTCCTACGCAATATTGTCGAGCCGTCAGCCATCTTCATGTTTCACCTTGCCTCGGCCGTAAGGAAGGAATAATACAACACACACTCACACACACACGCACGCTCAGACACAGGCAGTAAGACTATTGGTGCCCAGCAGCAGTTGTGTAGACAACGAAGCTAAGTAAAATCTGTGGGAGCCAAGCGCTCTACAAGTCGCAGGCGTTGTGTTTGTTGGCTAGCCAAATGCAGCAATTAGTTTTAACTAAGTACGCTAGTTATTATTTTCGTTTACACATTTCACATTTAATTAATCACAAATTGAGCTACAACACTTCGCTTTGTGCGAGAAAATTTCTGACAAAACTACGACATACATACATATGGGGCTGGGTTATCGATATCGGTTTTTAGTCTACAGGCTGCAGTCTGCTGTTGGACGCAGTGGCAACTCTGCGTTTCAAATCCGCTGCAGCCCTGGCTGCATGTTTATCGTTATCGTTAATCAGCACCAGTCGTCATCATCAGTCAGCTTGCAAAACTATACGGATTGGAATTGCGTGTTATTATTGCTATTAACTGCGCTCATAATTAAGAAGTATCTATTATAGATTTTAAAGCCTAACTATCTGCAAACATGTCCTACGCGTATTTGTTCAAATATATTATCATTGGCGACACTGGTGAGTGCTGATCAAAATATCCATATGAAAGTGTCTGAGTGAAAAATATAGTGCTCGAATTGTGTAGACAGAACAGCAACAAAACAAAGGCAACGAAAACTGCCAAACTGCGTAGTGTTTGAAATAGTGTATTTGCCCTTTGGCAGCTCAAGTCTGAGTCAAGTGCAGTGAATAGAGAGCAGCAGCTGCAATGCAGCCCACATATCAAGGAAAAATCAATAAAACCATAACAACGCTTTGGCATAGAAAGGCGCGGGCGTTACTCCACACTGTTGAAGTTAACAGTTGCTTACTGTGTACATACGCAAGGGGGAGCCAGCCAGTCGTATGTTAGCGACCTGCTGTTGCCTGTCTGCCTGCCTGCTGAGTCAACCGTTGCTCGACCCACCAAAAGCCCAACAACCCCAAATCGGCAAACTTCTGCTTGCACGCATTTTAGCATAATTTTTGCTCTTTTGGCTGTTGTCCATAAAGTCTGCAAGAGACAACACTAAATATCTATTTCGTTACACTCTGCTCTGCTTATCATCAGCACTGTCCATATGTATATATACACACAGACAAAGCTTTTGATTTACAGTAATTAAACAGCTGTTGATTTCGTATAGGACTTTGCAAATTTCCTTCATGCTGTTATCTGCAACTTTTTTTTCCTCCAATAAGGAAATGTATCAGATTTTTGTTGCTCTCGATTAAAAAAGTATTTTTTCTGATTAATGCTTGCGGGGGTTTATATAATACAAGTAGCATATGGTAATGCTATGATAGCATATTATTTTATTAAAATAATTTTTCTGACTAGGGAATTACAAAATCTATTAGGTGGGATTTTAACCATGCAATGTAATTTTACATTTAAATCTACTTAAATGAGTCTCTCTAGTTGAACATATTGAGAGATGTTTTTTGGTCAGATACAAAAAAATGTAAATAGACAGAATTGTTTACTTAATATCCCTCATTCTCATAACCCAGACAAGTTTTTACTTCCCTAATATATTCATGAGAGTCAAATAATCAATTGGGTATTTCTCAAGAAAAGTCTATTTTTTGTACCGAACCACTTGTTTTGTTATTAATGAATTTAGTCAGCTCGAACAGTTACTAAGACCCATACTACAATTTTAATGGTCTGTCTGTCTGGCTATCTTGTTTTGCTTTTGTAACAAATAAAAAAAAAAACAAACTTTCACCCACCGTTTAAAATTGTATGAACAGCTAATTACTAAATGAGTTTTTTGTTGTACATTTTTCTAGGCGTTGGTAAATCATGTCTGCTGCTGCAGTTCACGGACAAGCGCTTCCAGCCGGTGCATGATCTGACAATTGGCGTGGAGTTCGGCGCACGCATGATCACCATCGATGGAAAACAAATTAAATTGCAAATCTGGGATACAGCCGGCCAAGAGGCATTCAGGTGCGTTTTCAAACAAACAGAAAGTATAATAATATATATAATTAATAATATATGTAATTTAGATCTATCACACGATCGTATTATCGTGGAGCGGCAGGCGCTCTGCTTGTCTATGACATCACAAGGCGAGAGACCTTTAACCACTTGACCACATGGCTGGAGGATGCGCGTCAGCACTCAAACTCCAACATGGTCATCATGCTGATTGGCAACAAAAGCGATCTCGACTCGAGGCGTGAAGTGAAAAAGGAGGAGGGCGAGGCATTCGCACGCGAACATGGCCTTGTCTTTATGGAGACATCAGCACGCACGGCGGCCAATGTGGAGGAGGCCTTCATAAATACAGCCAAAGAGATTTACGAGAAGATACAGGAGGGTGTATTCGACATAAACAATGAGGTATGAAACGATGAATTATTGTGCATAAAAATAATATGATTAATCCCTTTGTGACCACTTCCAGGCAAATGGCATTAAAATCGGGCAACAGGCAACGCCCACAAATCCGGCGCTACCCGGCGCCGGCGGTGCGGGTGGTGCGGTCAATAGCGGCTGCTGCTAGGAGTAATATGTTTTTTGCCGTTGCCTGCACTTGGGATATCCGTAGCCGATAGCTGATAGCTGCTTCTGTAAAAGCTACTAGTGACTAACTTTTAGAAGGTAGTGGATACAGACCGACCTATTGTTTTCATTTTTTTTATTCAAGTAAAGGAATAACCGTAAAAATAAACCTAGCTGCAAAGTAATAGTTAATCCGCAAAACTAGTGAAACGATATCGACACTAAGCATAATGTTAAAAAAAAAAAAAAACAAAAACGAACAGAAAACTAAAATAATCGCTGAAAATGAAATAGTAAAAATAGTAAAGAAATGAAACTATTCATAAATGCATCATTAAATTCAATTTTAAATAAACTACAGAATTACAATTGTATATGTAAAATGTGTCGTGCGTGATTTCTAAATTTTGTAAACTTTAAACATACGTATATATGAAAAAAAAAACAAATATTTTTGTGTAAATTTAGTTAGTTTGCTAGTTACAATTTGGCTGAGCAATAATCGATGTGTAAAATACATATACATATATTATATTATCTATATAAACGTACTATATGTGAATTTGTCTCATTGTGATTCGTTTATCTACCCCTCGTTTCTCCTACTCCTCCATCGTGGTGGCTGCTTTTCTTCTACTGCATTGTACAACATTAATGTTTCTGATTTGTTAATATATATATTTTGTCGCATTTGATTTGTTTTTGTGTGATTTGCATAACATTTAACGATATATACATATAAAGATAACACAGACATGCATCAAAAGAATGAAGTATATATTATATAAGTTTAATACATAATTATTATACAAGAAAACAAAAAATAAATAAACACAAAAACAAATCTTGGTGATAATGCTAAATCAATTCGATTATGTCGCCGACAATTACGAAGTTTATATATATTTAAAATTTAACAAATTAAAAATCGAAAACAAAGCAGAAATAAAATCAAATTATTTGTAAACATTTGTATTTGCCAGACCCAAAGCAGTATAATATTAATATATACACAATAAATATTACAAAAATACAAACCCAAAGATTTTGTTATTTAAACGGGAGCTTCAAGAAAACAAACTTAATTTTATCTTTTTTCATCCTTCAAAATTATTATTTAATTGTTTGCTGAATAATATTTTTTAGCATATAATGTATATATATATATCGATTTATGTTTAGTTAATTGATGTTTGTAAACAGTTTAGAATTGCATTTGAAATTTAATATAGTTTTATTTGCTAAATATTGTGCTTAGATCTAAAAAAAAATTGTTAGAAACGACAAGTACAGCTGTAGATGTTGTTATTAGGCGTTAGTTAATTGGATTTTAAACTAAATTGAAATGTGCTTTATCATATATAGTTATATATGTCTGTATATATAATTCTAGTTGCTTTTTGGGCATAGGCTAAATTGTTCTCAGTGCGCTACGTGTATCTCTCGATTGATTTTTATTTTTAATAATACTTGAACTGTTACGGTTTTAATTAATTTATTTTATTTGTTTCCTTTGATGACAAAAATTGATAAAAACTTGTTGCATACCATTTGCAATTCGGGTGCTAAACTTTTCATTCAACATTGATCTATTTACAAAAGTTGTAGCTATTGTTAATTTCTTGTTTTGTTTGAAGACTTTCGCTAAGATTGTTTGAAAAATTGTCTTTGAATTTATTGCATACGTTACATAGATTGGTTTAGTTTATGTGTATATTTTTTGGTTGTTATTTCAAAATTTAGGCTTTTTTTTTAGATTAGTATATGTTTTAGTTATTGATTATTACTTTTCGAACATTTATCTCTTACTATTATTCGCTTTAATAAAGAAGACAATGTGGGGAACCCGTTTTGCGCATGGCAGTGATGCACTGCAATTGATATATTGAATTTTTATTATTATTATATTCATATAATGTGTATAGTTCGATCTGTTTAGTATATAATGTTTTGCTTGTTGTTGTTGTTGTTGTTAATGTGTGGTATTGGAGTATACGTACAATGTAGTTGTCCTAGTGCTTTAGTTAACTAATATAGTTGTTTTAATAATTAGTTTTCAAGTCAAATTGTTTTTGTTTTTGTTTCTGCTTACATACAAATTATTAATTATCTACTAATTCGCTCTGAGTTTTATTTTTTGTTTTTTAGCTGCAACAGCATTTGACATAAGAAACTTGATAACATTTAATGCTAGTCCATTAACTTTTGTTTGTTTTTTGTGTTTTTTTTTTTTCTGAGGCCGCAGTGCTGCTTAATTGCACTGAAGTTTGTCAATTTTAGTACCTTGATTTATATATGTATATATTTTGTTTACATTCTCTTCTACTGTATGTGTGTGAGTGTTTATATAAGTAATCTAATGTAAAAGTTGAGCTTTTTTAGTCTCTGAGACATCACTATCACTCTCCTTAGTTGCTTTCTTCTCACAGAACTCGATCATATACGAACAGACGCCGGAGAGTGCTATAAATATGCCCGCATAGTAGAAGGAGTCGTCCCATCTGTTGACAATAGATAATACATATATACATTTATATTTAGTAATTCATAAATGTAATTCATTTCAATTTGTTTAGCTACACACCTGCCCGTATATTCAAATATGGCACCTGCTATGGGCGGACCGGCTATCATGCCAACGCCCTGGATCAGCAGCACCAAACCGTAGGCACAAGTGAAATCATCCAAATCAACCAGACTGACCAAGATGCTGGGCGTAAACGAAAACGAACTGGCGAACGTGAATCCAAATATTACACACATGATCATCAGTCCATTGTAGCTAGTTATAAGCATGGGCATAAAAAATACCGAAGCACCACAAACTGTAAAAACAAAAATTATATTTCATTAAAGAGCTCTAGTATTCAAATTACCTTTGCGTGAATTTATGAAAAGGTGATTTTGATTTTTTCATTATCTATCCTACTTTCCCAACTCCCCTTATCTATCACTTATGATACCAACTTACTCAGCATGCATACGGAATAGCAAATATTGATGTTCATCCAGGGCAGATCGCCCAGGTAGCCGAGGCCGATCATGCCCACTGTTTGCGCAATGCCAATTGCCGATATGAGCACAGCGCTAACGCTCACCTCGTAGTTGTAGGTCTTCATGTAATCGGGCAGATAAAGATAGGGTATGATAAACCTGTAAAAAGTATATAGTTAGTTGGTTGTATTATTTGATGTAGCTAATTGGCATTGCATAAAACAAAGATAACCAAATTTGTTTGCCTTTACAGTTAACAGAACGAGACGCCTGATACCCTGTAACACGTTTATTAGGCTAACGACTTGATGGGCGTGTGAGTTTAGTGTTTTATTAAGAGATTAGAATGATATGAAGTCTGGCAGGGTTTTTGTTTGTTTAAATTAGTGGACTAGGCGATACCCTGTATGTTTAACAAGCTGTTAATAAACGTTAATCTTTTAAGCAATCACTAAAAGCTGTATTAGCTTTTCAGATTTATGTATTTAGCATTGCTTGAATACCCCTATGTGCACATCAAGGGGTTCATAATTTCATTAGAATACACGATAGATATTTTGAGCATTTGCCAAAAACTGTGCGCGACATTTGTACTTGGGCAGCTTTGCGACTCGTTATGGTCGTTGCTATTTCATATATCTATTAGCTACATACACATTTTGACTTGCGCAGATTGAGACCTTCGGATTCTGAATGATCTCTCGGTACTCAGTATTCAGTATTCGTACTTACCAAATGAACAAAAACAACGTCGATAGATTGAAGAGCGCAAACTTTTTATCCAGGAAGAGCGAGAAATCAAACACCGATTTTATGGTATCCACAAAACTCTCATACCAGGTCTACAAACAAAGAGAGCAACAGATAGAGAGATAGATAACATTATTAATACTGTGTAAAGAATTGGGCAATACGGAAACCAAATGCTGTCTGAATGGCCGCTTATCAGTTGAACACTTAACTCTGTCTGTATATACACATCATTAATAAATATATATTTTGTTATTTATATATATTTTTATATTTCAGAGCACCTCGATAATCGCGCCTTGAGCTGAATACAGAGCAAATGGTTGTCAAGCGACACAGCATGATGTGGACTTGGACTCCAAGTCGCCTGATAACTGGCACGAAGCGAACCAGAGCGAGTTAAGAACTGACTAAGAATTGATCTATAACAGAATAGAATACATAATCTGTGCAAGAGATTATATATATGTACATGTGAGCTCAAATGCAGGTCAAATAGCATGCAAAACGAAATGATTATAAATATCTTATCTTATATATATTTTGCATATATATTTTAACTTGAATTGGATCAAAGTTCTATTAAAATAAGTATTTCAGCAGAAGCATCGACCTACACAAATGAATTTCTAATCTAACACAAATTTTTATTGTATTTAAATTTTTAACAATTTTTCTCTAAAGCTTTCCATACTCTGTTATCTTAAGCTCGAAAATTGTTGCAGATAAAATCATAAACTAATAATAATTTAGATAAAGAACTTGGTATATATTATAGCCTACCCATATTTTCGCCCTATCAACATTGAACAACCCAGTTTCTCTACTCACGTCTTCTTCCTCCTTGGCAATGGTGGTCATTGAGTTGCGATAGATGTTGGGGCAGGAGGAGGCGCGCAGGCGATATCGATGCGTATTGAGCATGGCGCCGCGATAATGTATGGAGTTGCGATGTATGCGCATATCCTTCAGGAAGTTGGAGTTCCTGATCGAGATGTTGCGACGCAGATTCGAGCGATGCGGATTGGGCTTCTTGGAGCGCGACAGACGGCGAATGCCCGTAATACTGTCCAGACGGGAACGGCGCAAGGCCAGTTCGCTGTTATCCTGTTCGTGTTCGGGTATGGCAATCACTGTAGAGGCACCAGTTCCAGCACCAGTTGCATATGGTCGGGGTCTGGGCGCCTGCTGGTCGAGCAGCGCAAAGGTCTCCTCCTTGATGGACATGTAATAGGCGTGCATATCGTCGCTCAGTATGTCCACCGAGTTGTGGCGCTGCTCATTGATCCTCAGATTGGACAGCGATGCCGAATTGTGTTTGCCCATTATGAGATTTTCATTCAGCGAATACCGCGAGCTGGCATAATGCGCATCGTTGTGCTTCTGGGTGAGGTAGCCCTCGTCCGAGGAGCGCAGCGAGCCAATGGGCGTGCCCGCCACTGTGGAGCGTTTCTCCGACGGCGACAGTGTCTCAATCGACGCCAAATAGCTCTTCTTGGCCGCCTCCGCGACCTCAGGCGGTATGCCGCCCATGGGCGTATCGTCCGGCGAGCCG